AGAATGAATTACATAAGGTCACTCGAGCAATCTCATCCTTGAGGAGAAGCACCAAACATCACTGGCTATGCTACCATTTCTTATCCATGCAGCAAACTCTCAACTTCAGCTCCTCCACCACTTTTCCTCCTCACTGCAGCTGATCTTCACCTCAGGCACTGCTGCCAGAAGGCACCAACCAGCAACACTGCAACAAAAACAAAGGGTTTGAAGCCCTTTGAAGTTTCCACCAGACTAAGGAATTGTGGACTGGAGTGATATTTCAGTTCACATCCACAAGTTCAACCATAATATACACACATCATCACCAAGATGTGGAGGATAAGCAGAAAAAAGGACAAGACATGCATATGCAACTTTAAAATATATTGCTTTCTCATCTATAAAAGTAACCCTACTAGTTGGTTTGCTTTTTTTCATGGATAGCTTTCTGTATGTAACATTTTCCACTTCATCTTTCCCCCTTTCATAGTGTTCCAACACAGACCAAGTGCAGCTTTGCACAACCCCTCCCCTGTTACACTACCTCAGTTTTTCTTGTACAATACACGCACTTGCAGATGATAATTTCTATTGGGGCCCAAGGGTATTTTTGTTCAGCCATTTCTATAAATGGGTGCAACTCTTAGATCAGAATTAATCTGGCTAGCAATATTTAATTATATTAATTACTATGCCTTTGAAAAGATAGCATCAGAACACCAATGTAACAATTACTTAAGTCACGAGGAAAGTGTGCATGAAGAGAGTGTAACAAAGGCTTGGTTTCTCTCTTGAGCAAAAAACATCCAACACTCCCATCCACAGGGCAAGGTTCACACAGAAATGCAGTGGACTCTTTCAAGAAGATTCTCTGACTGTTCAAACTTCTTCAGCACCTCCAGGGCTGCACCTACTGTGCTGTGCTCCTCACTGGTCTGTGGCACAGCCAGGACAGGCTGATGTGCCACCCCCCTGAACTGGGAACAGCTGGAATGAAGCACCCAAGCCAGAGGGATGAGGATGTGTACACTACGTACAGGTGACACTCAGCTCAGAGGAGGCCCAAGGAGGCTACTGCAGCAACCTCAGTTTTAAGAGAAGCCATGAGACATCCTAAATTACAAAACCTGCTGTCCTCAACAGCTTTTGGAGGATTACGGGAGCACAGCACTGGGTCAAGCTCATGTTTGTGATCGCTCGTCTCATTTTGTGCCTACAGCCAAATCAAATCAGTATCCAGGCCAAAAGGTTTAAAATTAATCCCTCCAAATAAAAAAAAAATAAATCCACTAGATCTGCTGAAACATTTTATCTGGGCCTGTAAGACAACACAAGGTGGTATGAAGAACCAGAGGGTGCTCTGGAGCTCTTCAGGTAACGGGGTAAAATATTTTATTAGTCTATCTGTCAGGTCAACATATCAAATGAGTTTTTATGTGGTTAGAATCAACACCAAGATCTTGTGCTTATTTCTCATGCTTTTAGCTAAGTCATTCAGCAAGTGTCATGTATCTTTTTTAGAAGACTGCAGTGTATTTGTCCACAGTAATACTTTCAAAAAACTTACGGACAAAAGGTGTAAAGCATTTTGTACTTAAATGGGTAAAAATTCCAAAATTGAATAAAATGGCAAATTATTTCCTACAGCTATTAAGGTATTATTTAAGAACAGAAATATAAAACAAGGATTAAGAAAAGGGACACACCTGTTCTGCAAAATAAAGTCTTTGAAAAGAACTACCAGAAGTAAGAGAAACTGAAAAAAACCCAGTGAACTTGTACGGAAAAACAGCAGAAGGCATACTGCCAACAGATGGTGAAGAAGTCATACACCAAAAAGGAAAACAAACTTGAAAGCATACTCGATTTTGAGGACCTGAGAAAAAAAAACAAAACCAAAGCTAACTCCTTCCTAATCACAGATTCCCTGGTTAAATATGGAGCTGCATGTTCTTAACACTTAGAAAAGCAGTTGTAATTTCTGGGTCCTAAAATGGAGGCATTCAAAATTAGCGTGTCTATGAAAATGTTGGTCCACTCTTGAAATCACTTCCTTCCTCCCTGCCATCAAAACACACTCTTTTTTGGTGTGTTTTCATTATTTCTCATGTTAGTGGTTAAGCTCAATGCAGTGGAAAATATCTGATGCTTTAATGGGACACTTTCTCATTAATTCAGATACCTGTTTAAAATGAAAATGATGCTTCCTCTCTGAGGCCTTTCTGCAGCAGCTGGTAGCAGCTACTGTCACAGAAACCAAGAGACAGGTATTTGCAGACCCTCTCAGTGGAAGTTATTCTATTCCCATTATTATAACTTTCCATACTGTCAATCCAATTCTCAACCTCACTTCTGAAAGTAGGATTTTACACAGCCAGGTTAATAGCACTCACTGATCAAAGGAATTTGACATACTGTACTGCAATTTTTACTGGGGGTACATTTTGCAGTTGGAAATCGATAGGCAAATAAAAATTATGGCATAACAAGAGTCCCACATGAATGCCACAATCCTGTCAGAACATGAAAAAGTACTTTAAATGTCAAATTAACACAGAAGTCTTCTCCTACAACTGTGTATCTTCCCCCAACAAACCTCCTTCCCTTAGTTTGCATACCTTGCAAGAGCTATTCAGGAAGTTGACAAAGTGCAAACCCAAGAGCAACAGACACATCAGATTTTACTCTCTTCTAAAATATGTCCACTTGCAGCTGAAATTTCAGCTTTAAAACTGTTCACCTTCCAGTTTCTCAAGGCTAGCTGCCACAAGTAAGTTTTCAAACTTATTTTATCCTCTTCCTTGCTTTCATTCCTAATGTCTACACATTATACACTAACTCTGGTTAAGACATTACTTAAGAAAGTGATTACCAGGAACAAGGGCACAATTTTCCCATTTGTAACACTAACTCTGAGCTGCCACTTGAAAGTTAAAATGAGTGACCTATCTCTAGCACAAAAGCAAATACTGGAGCATCAGCAATTGTTCATATTTAGAGCTTTTTCTATCTTGTAAACATTCATTTAAAATTATAAATTCCCTCAACCTCAAAGTGCACAAAATGCAGCATAATATTGTAGGTAAGGCCTATTTTATTTTTAAAGTCACAAACCATTGTGGTTTGAAATCTGTGGGAAGAGTAGCTTTGATTTTGACTAAGAGATGCTAAAGGATACCCTAAGGTGAATCTTTAGGAGCTGCCAGGATCAGTGGAGGAGCTTTCAGGACAGACAGTGATGTTTGACACAGCCAAATGCCTGTGGGCACATCACCTGATGCTGCACAGCTCTTCAGCTGAGGGAAGGTTTGCTATGAATACACTTACTCGATAATAGACACCTGTGGGTTCATTTATTTTACTGTCTGTCATGTTCTCAGCCAACCATCCACACTTACAGACAAGTTCTTCATCAAGAAAAAAAAATTTAAAACATCTGACAACAGGGGAAGAGTTGTTATCTACACCAACATCCACACTAGAAGGTCTGCATAAGGCATATATCTGATTGGTGACTCTTACAAGGGCTAACAGGTTGCTTTCAAAGGGAAGAACAAGAAGTAAAAAACCTCCACAAGTCTTTCTAGAACCACAAATAAAAATGCAATAAATTGCACAGTTAAACTTTTTATGCTGATTTGACAAAAATACAATGCATTTCTAAATCTCATGGACCATGGAAGGCTTAATTTAGAACAACACAACCTTTAAAAAACTTCATCTGCCACCAAGCACTTTCTATTTACTGGTCTTCAGCAGCCATAGCTCAGAAATCAGAAAAAAAAAATTCCTCGTATCACGGAATGTATTGTGACATTCAGTTTTCACACCCAAACAAAACAATCAGGCACACACTGCCAAGAAACATCAGTGCAGCTTCAGGGCACCAGCAAGGGCTGCTACGTGTAGGGCTTCTCTTCAACACTTATAAGGCTCCTACCAGGGTGGAATTCTTGAACTTGCTAAAGCATTTGTAGATTACACGCCTGTCCGGTTAAATACTTCCTGCAATTTTGTTAATTATACATCAAGGTCTGCAATTAGGGAATGACTCCCATCCTAGAAAACATACAGCTTTCCTCAAGTCACCTCCCCCTCCCCAGAATGTGTGTCTCGGCTGCCGTTTCTACAGATCCCTCTGGAATGTATGCTCTTATCCCAGATAGGAAAATACTTTCAAAACTTGAACAGAATGTGCAGGTCTATCGCTGAATGGTTTTCCTTTTCATTTTTCAGTGCTATAGACCGCTTGTTTAGGTCGATACACATTTCTGTAGGCAGGGGCGGAGATCTCCGGGAGTAGAAAAGTGCAACCCCAAGTTCAGGTTCTCTTTCCGTGTCCATCCCTTCCAGAGGCGGCCAAGCGCAGGCTTTCACAGCAACGCCATCCCCCCTCCACATCGGCGTTATCCTCCGCTGTCAGCAAAGCCATCACAGCAAATACCCGGCCTTTTCCTTCTTTCCCCCTGATTCGTCATCAAGATGTAAATTAACAGATTCTCTCAGAGACAGAAAAAAAACAAGACCCCACCGAACAATGAGAAACACTTCCCCGCCGGTGCCCCACAGGACGGAGGGAAACAGGATCCCTTGCGCTGGGGGAGTTACTTAGCCGGGATCAGATGCTGCTAAAAATACGGGAGCGGTGCGAGCGGGCCCGGACAAAGCCCGGGCAGGGCCCGCGGTCCCCGTCCCGGAGCGTCCCCGCGCCAGACGGTGATGTCACCGCCGGCGGCAACAAAGGACGCGGCACCGGCCGGGCGGCCCCTGCCCTCCGCCCCCCGCCCCGCCGGCGGCACCGCGCCTCCCGCCCGCCCGGAGTGCCGGCACCGGCCGAGACAAAGCGGCTTCCCCCGCGCTACGTGCGGGCGGAAAGGGAGAGGTTCGGGCCGCCCAGCGCCGGAGCGGCGGCTGTGGGGAGGCGGCGGCCCCCGGGGCGGGGCGGGCCGGGCCCCGGGCGGGCGCCCCCGCGCCCCCCGCCAGCCGCGGCGGGGCCCCGCTGCCGCCCCCTCCCCTACCTGATATGGCGGCGGCGGCTCCTGATCCGGCTCAGCCCCGTCTCCGTAGCTAGCTCTGTCCGACTGTGACTCGTGGAGCAGTGAGATGTCATCCGAGGTGGGGGACTTGAGGCAGTTCCCCATCTTCCCGGGGGGAGCGCGGCCCCCCCTCCGCCTCCTCCCGCTCCGGCGGCGGATCCGCGCCCTCAGCCTCCCCGCCGCAGCGCGCAGCCCGCAGCCGCCCCGCCGGGGAGGCTCATGCCAGCCCCGGCCCTAAGCGGCTTAGCAGCAGCAGCCCGGCCACCTCCCGCTCCGCTCCGCAGCCGCCCCGACCCCCGAGCGGGGGGGGCGGCAGGACGGGCCTCCCACCCCCCGTGGGGCAGCGGGCTCCGGTGGGTCCGCCCGCCCCGCGTCTGCCCGGCGCGGTTCTGCTTCCCGGTCACCAGCTCCCTGCGCACTGGGCTTTGTCGCACGGGCCGCCCTGGCTCCTCCTCTCACCCCTCCCCGCCGGGCCCGGGGAGCAGCCGTGGGGCCTCGCTGGGCTTCGCGCCCCCCGGCCCCGCCGCGGGGACAGCCCTCCCCGCCCCCGGCGGGACGAGGCGGGACGGGACGGGCTGGGGAACCCAGCTGCCTGCTGGGCTCCCCCGGCCCCAAAATGGTGGGAGCCGCTTCGCTCCGCCCCCGAGCGCGGTGTTTGTTTGTGTTCCGGGCATGGCGGAGCCGGCGGCCGCTCGGGCCCGGCGGGGCGGGACGGGGCGGCAGCGGCACCCCCCGCTCCACCCGGCCCTCCCCGGCTGAGGCGTTTGTGCGAGGTTTGTGCGAGACCTTCCCAAGGGTTCCCCCGCGGCAGGGAAGGGGGTTCCCTGTGCTAGTCGCTGGAGTGAGGGGAGGAGCGGTCAGTGTAGGCACAGGGCGGTGAACCCCAGAGTGGAGCAAAATCAGCAACTGGCATTTGGCTTTTGCGTTTCTAAAGGTTTTTTGAGATGAGCAGGTACTCTAATAAGCCGTATATTTAGCTCCTTTTTTTTTTTTCCTTCATAAAAATGTATTCATACTTGGATACAAGTATAGGTAAGTACTGATAAATGCAAATTTGAGGATGGCGAATGCCCGTGTCACTGTGTTTGAGTGCCAGCACTGACCCACACAGAGGGGAATGTATGATGGACCTATCAGTGTTCTTCAGTTCCTCAAAATGCATCCTTGGCCTTCAGATTTACATCACAGAAAATACTTTAAAATCCAATTTTAAAATTAGGTACTTTTTAAAGTGGAGCAAATGTGGTGCAGATGTCAGCAGCTGCAAAGTCCAGTCTGTAAAGTAGCATGGCTGCTGCTTATCACCGAGTTCTCTGCTGATGCAGCTCAGACCTGCTTTGCTCCAGACCTCCCATCCTGGGTCAGAGTATCTATGGACTGTTCACAGTGACATATTTTGCTCCACAACCTTTGCTAGTGGACCTCAGTCTGGGATCAGACTTTTTGCTGATTATCCTTATGAGTTCATTCTTGGAGATTTCATTTTATTGCTGTTCAGGGTGGTTTGTTTTGCTGCTTATCGATGGGTAAGTTAAACAACCCTGGTGTAAAGACTGTGATTGCTGCCATTTATGGTGTTCTGACACAGTTTCAGGCTTTTCAAGGAAACTGAAAATGGGGCAGGATTCTGAGTGTTTTTCAAGATAGGCTTTGCAATGGTGCATTGTAAATAATGACTGTTGTACATGGCTTGCTCATTTGGGTGTTTATCCTATGAGTCTGTTGGCTTGGTTTAATAGAATTAGGCAAGCAATTGTTGGAGAGAATCCAGGGAACCACTGCCTCACCCAGTCACGATTTCAAGGTTAAGGCAATGTCAGAGCTGTGAGAACCTGGTGATGGAACCCCGGTGTTGTCACTGGTATTTCCAGTTGTGCAGTGGCACCATTGGGAATGAGATTACAGGCAACTAGAAAGCCTTATTTATTCAGCTGTTATCTCGTGTTTTGTTTTCTCTCTGAGGCTCGGGCCTGTGACATTGATGTAGTTCAGTGAAAAACCACAGGTCACACTGTGCTTTGGTGTGAGGCTGTGATCACAGCTGTGATCCTCTACAGTCAGGAGGTCCTATGGAAACCTGTGGTGCCTCCCCGCTAGCTGACGTGCCAAAATAGCCTTTCTTTGGAAATCAGAGTGCAAACTGGTCTTATCCTGGTATGCAGTCAGGACATAGGTGGGATTTCCTGTATCTCATGGTATAGGTGCATTTATTTACCTTGAGGCAGATCTCCAGAAGGAATGGCTGCTAAGCCCAGTTAAAACTTTCCCCTTAGTAGGTACAGGATGCTCTAAATCTGGGCATGTTTTAAAAAATGCAGACTTGTCAAGTGCCAGAAGAGAACTGCTTTTCATGGTGGACTCAGAGACACCAAAGAGGAAGCAGAGGTTCATGTTTGGCCTTGCAACAAGACAGATTGCACCTGTGAGAGCTCTGAAAGGGGAAGAGCTCTACCAGTCATGCCTGGATTCTTTGAAGTAGGGGGTGGTTGAAGGCACTGCTTTTCCCAGCCACTCACTCCCGTTATGTCAGATAGGTCATTAGTAATGGTTTTGCACCACCAGCTCAAAAGTTGTACAAAGGTCTAGGAGATGGAAAATTGAAAAATTGTTGTATTCACAAATGCCTTTAATATCCCTGTGTATGCTGACGTGTAGCTGTGAACCTACTCCTTTTGCTACCACAATTTTTGCAGGCTGGGGACAAGGAAGCAGAGGGATGGGTCCTCCGAAGATGTGATTTATGAGTATGGTTTCTTTGTTTTAGCAGAACCACAGGGCAGTTTAACTGATTGTTTCAGTTCTGTCTGGTTTATACTTCCTCTACTTAGTTTGGGGAAAAAATAATAGTCAGAAGGGATTTTCTAGTGTCTTAAAATACTCCTATAGAGGAAGAAAGATTCATGTAGGAGTTTAGGGCTGCACAGATACTACGCAGATGGAAAAGATAAAGCAAATACAGAAATTTGTGTCAGGCTAGTATCAGTACAGAAGTGGCAACATAAGTCAATGAAACTTTTTCTCACCTGTGGACATTTAAAGAGTTGGCTTTAATCTGTTGTCAGAATAGAAATCAGGATGTTCTGAAGTTTGCCAGTGTACAGAATTCACGTTCTGGTACACTTCAATACAACGATGTCATACACAGGTCTATCCTCACCACCTTCTGTCAGCTAGCATCTTCTGAGTGAAATCTATCTTTCAAAACAGGGTGAATTTTTTTTTTTAAAAAGAGTTTTAAACTATGCAGACCAAGTTTATTTTACAGGCAGTTTTATTTTACAGGCATTTGATATGAGAGGAGGCAAGTGACATATTGATGTATTCTTAAGGCTCATATGAGGTAGCCAGAGATGGATGATGAACTATTTATCTGAAATATCTATTTCCTTTGGTGCTAAAAATCTAAAATCCACTGAGGACATAAGAAGTCCTTCTTGTTAAGAGATCCTCTGCAAAATTTATGTCATAAATTGCCTAACTTTAGATGAAAGACCCTTTGATAACACCATTTTACGTGATCCACACTCATGTTATTGTTGAACAACATTTTGGATATGTTTAATATGTCATGCTTAACAAAGGTTTTTGAAAGACCTTTTCTGTCCTCAGCATGGAAAAGTTTTTTCACTTCCTTTTCTTCCATCAAGCTTATTTTCCCAGGACTTATCATCTCTCATTATGTCTTATCTTTCTTCTGGATATTATTGTTTTCCCAGTTCATACACAGAAGCCCAGTTGACTTCTGAGTGCAATCTTTCCATGCCATGGTACCCAGAGGTTCAGAGATAAAACTCTGTTTGCTTGGGTAATGTTGGCGAACAGAACACAATACAATTTTAAAACCTTTTTCTGGAAGGGAAAAAAAAAGACTTTGTATACCTCTGGAGAATGGAAGTAAATTACATTCTTCTATTATGTATGTGAATCTGATTATGGGAACAGTGGAATTAATTTATCTGGTTATAAAGAACATGGCATCTTCTAAAATGCACATGATTATTTTTAGTTTTGTTGATTTTAGCTGAACCATAGACATTTCTCAGTGTATATTACAACTGCATATTGCTTTCTGGGACAGAGTGAATGCAGCACTAGAAAGCAATTATGGAACTAATATATTTCCCTGAAATGTACTTTGTGATGCAGGATTTTACTCATGTTTCTAAAAATTACTTAAGCTTCTGCCTAAATTATGTTGGTATCACAAATATGCCACTTATATCAATTTATCCCAAAGATACCATCTTGGTAAAGAGAAGTATTCCATTTCTGGCAAGCATAGCTTACCTTCCATAACAATGGTTTTCCCCAGGTCCAAAATGTTTTTTCAGAAAGGACTGTAATGCCTGCCTATTCTGTGCACTGGGGCACCTGCACTGTGAGCCACAAAGAACAGAAAGAACGTGTATTTTGGCACTAAAACATGCAAGCAACAAAGCAGGCAGTCATCATACAAAAGTAACCCCTTCAAACAAACCCTCTGTCACCCAGTTTCTGGGTGAATTCCGTGTAGGAATCGATTTTCCTTTTTCTCCTTGTACCACATGTTGCCACAGTGGCAACTTCAAGAATGATCAGAGGCCTATAAAACATGATCTAAGGGGAAAGATTGAAAGAATTGGGGTTGTTTAGTCTGAAGGAAAGGAAGGTGTTGGGAAAAACGGTAATTATCTTTCAAAATGTAAAATGTTTCTCTGCAGAGAGAAGGAATAAGTTTTTCTTTATGTTCAGTGGGTCTAGAGCAAGAGGTGATGGACTTGGAGATTTAAAGTAGACATTAGGAAATTATTTCAAACTGGAAATGTACTTTGTACATTTGAAAATGATTATCTGGGAATCTCATTTGCTGAAGGCTTTGAAAGGCGGATTAGGCCATGTGTCTCAGGAATGGTTTTAGTTGCAGTAGATTATATGGAGATAACCCAAAAATGTTCCTGGCTGGTTTGTTTCTCTCAGGTGATTTATAGCAGATGCTTTACTGCTGAGTTATTTTGATTCTCACTCTTCTTATATCCTCAGGAAATGCCAGTAAGAAAAGATGTCAGTAGGTAAAAAATTGGGTGAGTAGAGTGGGTGGGGACGTTCCCAATAGCAGAATACTAAGAAATGACAGTTCCTGCAGGAAAGCTGGTGTGTTTGAGTATAGTGTGACATGCTGACATGTCCTCCTGACAGGCTTTGGGACACAAGAATTGGGCTGGCTTTCAACAAGTGGTGCTTAGTCAATACACAGAAATCTATGTTTTAAATTTTAATTTTAAATTTTAATTGAAGCTTCACTTTTTGCCGTGTTCAAATATTTCCTGAATTTGCTAGGAGTGAACTCTATCCACAGTTCACCACTAGCCAGTTTGTTACACTTTTATTTCCTCCAGCTCTCTACAACAGTAAGGTATCCAAAACCAGTAAAGTATCCAAAATGCTTGTAATTCTTTGAATCAGAGTTGAGGAATTAATTATTTG